CTATGAGGAAGTTTACCAAATTTTTTTTTTACAAATATTTGTTCATTTAAAAAACAATTTAATTATCCTTGGATCTAGGACCATTATTAAATTTGAACTAAGAATCTCCATTTTATATTTTACAAAAGAATCACGTGTATTAAAAATCAAACCAAATTATTCTGGACCATGTTTTATGAAAAACAAAATCTGTTGTAGAACTAATGAAACGATTTTGAAAAGAAATTTGGTTCAAAAACTTTAAGATGTCTAAAAGATTTCTACTCTCAGGAAAACACTATTTTTCATCCATTTAGGAAAAAATCCTGAATATATTGCATTAATTTAGCTTTTCCTCTGTTTCATTTCCAAATTTTACTCACGTTTCATTCTTTTCTTTAGGATAAATCTAAATGAAAATACATCAATTATTTATATATGATAGTTGATTTGAAGGTTTAGAATCACCGCTTCTCTCAAACCATTAGGCAAACCTCTAACTAAACAGATGGGCTTTAAACATGTTTTACAAAATTTATATTTTACCAAATGGGAATAACTGGAGGTAACTGATACTATAACCGATATATGTATTTGGAAAGAAGTTTCTCTTCCCTTTTCACAAAACTGTCACGACAGAGTGTTCCACATCATACACATAAATGCAAAAAGACAACCATTTCCATCTGAATTACTGTCATTTCTTGTATGTAAAATTCTCTTTGTTTATAGCACACTTTAATGCCAGATGCATCTCAATTTTCACATGAATCACATCCCATTTGTCTTTCCACAACCTTGAAATGTATCAGTATACTTCTTAATTTCATTGCATATATTTATTCATTATGTTACACTCTACATGTTTTTTAAATGTGCAGTATTTTTCATGGGAAGTTAATGACAAAAATAGATGGCTCTGCATTTTTCTAATATCTATGACAGAAAAGTTAACCTTTTTTGGTTTGCTTGTTAATGTATCATTAAGGTGCTAGAGCAACATTGTCCAGTAGTAATATAATGTAAGCCACAAATATAATTTAAATTTTCCTACTAGCCGAATTAAAAGAAGTCAAGAAAAATGAGTGAAACTAACATATCATAGCAATATATTTTATTCAATCCACTATATATCCAAAATATTATCATTCTAAAATGTAATCAACATATAAAAAGTTACTGAGTTTTTTACTTTTTTTCATACTAAGTCTTCAAAATCTGGTGTGTATTTTATGCTTCCAACATATCTCATATTACATGCTAAGTATTCATCTGAAGTACCTGATCTGTATTCAGATCCCATACAATTTTACAGTTTAAAAAGTTGATTTACATACTTAAGTTGTTCCAAACAAACTTGAAAATGTTCCATTACTGAGTCAAGTACCAAAGAATCATTTTCCTCAATATTTGCACCCACATTCACAAACAATTGATTTGATTTTCATGCAGAAGCATACTAATTTTAAAACTACATCTCAGTTAAATCAATTCACTAATTCTTGTGTTAATTCGGTATTAACCTTGAATTCAAGGTGAAAAAACAATTTTAGATTTATCAATATCAAGAAAGCCTGCAAATTTTTCTTGTACTTTTGCAAGGAATTTACATGCTGTCATTTATAAGTAAAATACTTTGTATATTCATTGACGTGTCAAATCATTATTACTAATTTGTATTATGAAAAGTTTGAATTTTAACATATATGCTTGTACCTGTGTAGTTAGGTCATGAATAAGCTTTTTTCCTCTCAGTGATGTCTCCAAATTTCACTCTTACAGATATTATTTTCTAATAACAGTAAACAAATATATTGTATTATTACCATATTTTACAGAGTTTCTGCTAACCCTAGCTTGTGGCAACACTATATATATATATATATATTTATTTATTTTTATTTTTATTTTTTTTGAGACGGAATCTCGCTCTGTCGCCCAGGCTGGAGTGCAGTGGCCGGATCTCAGCTCACTGCAAGCTCCACCTCCCGGGTTTACGCCATTCTCCTGCCTTAGCCTCCCGAGTAGCTGGGACTACAGGCGCCCGACTCCTTGCCCGGCTAGTTTTTTTTTTTTTTTTTTTTTGGTTTTTTTTTTTAGTAGAGACGGCGTTTCACCGTGTTAGCCAGGATGGTCTCCATCTCCTGACGCCGTGATCCGCCCGTCTCGGCCTCCCAAAGTGCTGGGATTACAGGCTTAAGCCACGGTGCGTGGCCGCAACACTATATTTTATAGGCCTAAGGTTAGAGCTTTTTGTGGACTCCCCTTCCCCGAATGAAAGCAGATGCACTTTTCTACATACAGCTTCATATTTGATGGCTCCCTAGTGGCAAATTTGCAAACCAGGGAGCCCACGTAATGCCTTCCTCAACTGGGCAAAGTTATGGGCGACATTCACATTAACTCAGTTTGTGTTTCTGATTGGTAATCTATTGTTTTGCAGTTCTTTTATTATTGAAATGTTTAATCTTGTCTGAAAAATCTCCACTGTTCAAAACGGAGGCTTTATCCAAACAAGTCTTTATCCAAACAAGTCCATTAAATCACCAATTTCAATCTTTTTATATTTATTTCCAAGTGGTCAGGAAGTTCTGGGGCTAAAGTAATGCTACTAGGCCCCTCACTGAACACAGGCCTCCTGGAAAACAGCATATATTTAAGGCTCGGTAAAAATAAATTATCTGGGAACTCATTATATCCTATACCTTCTATACAATTATTCTTCCAGGCTTTGTGAACTTCTGGATAAGAATTAATAAATAAGAAAGCATATGTCCACATAAGAGCTTATACATTAATTTTCGTAACAGCATTATTTGTAATAGCTGAAAAGTAGAAACAACCCAAATGTCCATCAACTGATGAATAGATAAACAAAATGTGGTATATCCACATAGTGGAACATTATTCAGCCATAAGCAGGAATCAACCGCTGATATATGCTACAACATGTATGAACCTTGAAAGCATTATGCTACATTAAAGAAGCCAGTCACAAAAGGCCACATAGTGTATGATACCATTTGTATGAAACATCTAGAATAGGCAATTCCCTAGAGATATAACATAGATTAGTGGTTGCCAGGAGCTGGAGGAAGGGGAAAATGGGGAGTGACTGTTAATGAGTGTGAGGTTTCCTTTGGGGATGATGAAAATGCTCTGGAATAAAGTAGTGGTGATGTTCAACTTTGTGACTAAATTAAAAAGTGCTGGATTGTACACTTTAAATGGGCATATTTATGGTATGTGGATTATATTTCGATGAATATTATTAATAATTCAATAATGATTTTTCAATGAATATTAAGTATATCTACATATTAAGAATTATTTAACAAATGATTTTTTTAAATATAGTATTTTCTATAGCCTTTACTAGCAGAGAAGTCCCTTGCCCTTAGAACCTCCCATCCTGTCTTTACCAATACATTAGAGTTCTATTTAACTTATTTTGAATGGAAGGAATTATTTTTTCATACTGAGTGTACTAACTGGACTAGGAGTCAAAAGACCTGGATTTTCCTGTTCCAAAATCTGGTAGTTATGAGTTACGTAACTTTGGATCAAGTCTGGCGTTCAGTTTCCTCATCTGTAAAAATGGCAATGGATTTGATGACATAAGTCAGGCACTTTTTAAAAAACATTAACTACCTTGTGTAATTGTGTGGAAGTGACCTGATGATATTGAAAGGCTCTTCCATACCTCTCTCCTAGAGAACAGCCAAGCACTGCTGCAGAAAATCCCTCAGCAGGCCATGGTCCCCAACCTCAAATGGGCACTCAACACTGCCCAGCAATCCAGCTTTTTTCTCCAAGTAGCTAATTCTTTCATTGCCATTGTAAGTCATTTAAACACTTCACCACTCTCAAAAATCACTCCTATACCCTGCACTTCTCCTTCTACTGTTAGTACATGATGTTACTTTTTACTTCAGAGAGAAAATAGAAGCCAAGAGATAGCCAGCTCTTAATAGCCCCTTAGCTAAATGCATAAACTTGTCTGCATTCCATCTTCCTTCCTTCCTGTTACAGAGAGGAGGGCCTTACTTTTGCTTTAGGTAATTCTCCCAGTGTGCTTTGAGGCTCATCCTTTCCACCTTCTTAGGAACCTGACACCACTCATTTTACCTCTACTCTCTTCTAATAGATCCTTCCCAACAACTGCTAACCTAGTTCAAGCTTCTTTTATTAACAAAATGAAACATTGAACCCAGAGGATTGCTGGTATTTCCAGTTACTGACTAAAGTATGGCTGCCATTGGGCAAAGGTTGAATCACAGTTTATAATTCATTTTGTTAGCCAGCTTTGCCATTAGGTTATTCTTGATTGTTATCTTTTTACAATTTGAAAGTATTTGTATTAATTAAAATTTTATGCACTGTACTTTATTCATACTTTTATGTTACATTCTTTCAAATTCACACTCACTGTGATATTTGTGTGATGATTTGATTATTCTTTGTCTTTGCCACTAGATTGTAAGCTCACTGAGAACAGGTTCTGTGTCTGTATCCCCAGAGCACATAATAAAAACTCAGTAAATAGTTGTTAGAAAAAATGAATGAAGGAGGCCGGGCACGGTGGCTCATGCCTGTAATCCCAGCACTTTGGGAAGCCAAGGCCGGTGAATCACGAGGTCAGGAGTTCGAGACCAGCCTGACCAACATGATGAAACCCCATTTCTACTAAAATACAAAAATTAGCCAGGCATGGTGGCAGGAGCCTGTAATCCCAGCTACTCAGGAGGTTGAGGCAGGAGAATTGGTTGAACCTGGGAGGCAGTTGCAGTGAGCCAAGATCGTACCACTGCACTCCAGCCTGGGCAACAGAGTGAGACTCCGTCTCAAAAAAAAGAAAAGAAAAAATGAAGGAATGGAATTCTATGAGACAGAACAAGCAAAGGAGTAAATATCAGTTTGTTTAAAATTAGGCTGGTTTATAGATGTTAAATATTTTTAAATGCATTGTATATTAGGATAACCAAAAATGAGCATTGAAATTTTTTGATGTTTTTATTTAGGCCATGGAAGCAGGTCTCTCAGAGGTAAAAAGTGAGTTACAGTCACGTGATGATCTCTTGAGAATTATAGAAATGGAACGATTGCAATTACACAGAGAATTATTAAAAATAGGAGAGTGCCAGAATGCTCAAGGAAATAAAAAAAGGTATAATCTTTATATTTGACAATCTGATAGAACTGTTCAAAACATGATGTTTGAATGTTTTTAAGAGTTTTATATTTGAAATGAGAATAAAAAGTCTATTTTGTATTAACATGTTTAATTAGTGGGTAATATTAAATATTAAAAATAAAATTTATGGTTATTTTATCTTCAAAATTAACATCTTTACTTACCTAGAAAATTGTATCATGTTCTGATTTATGGATATTTCTGTCACTCTGAGTCAGACGTGGTGGCTCCCAGCACTTTGAAGGCCGAGGTGGGAGGACCACTTGAGCCCAGGATTTCAAGACAAGTCTAGGCAACATAGTGAGACCCTGACTCTTCAAATTTTAAATTACCTGGGCATGGGGGCACACACCTGTAGTCCCATCTGCTTGGGAGGCTAAGCTGGGAGGGTCGCTTGAGCCTGGGAGGTCAAGGGTGCAGTGAGCTGTGATCGTGCCACTGTACTCCAGCCTGGGCAACACAGTGAGATCCTATCTCAAAAAAAAAAAAAAAAAAAAAAAGATACTATACAAAAATAGTATAGAACTGGTATTCAATTATGTATATACTCAGAGAAATAAGATTTATTCCATATTTTTAAATGCCTTTGTTTTGATTGCCTATACCTGATGTCAACCTTTTCACTTGTACATATTGTATTTATTTTGGCCACCACACTCGCCATCTTGTCAGTTCCATTGAGGGTTCTTCTTAAAACAGATTTTTTTCCTCGTTTAAAATCAGACAGATACTGTATATTCCATAAACACAAAGGAAACCAGACAGATATTATATATTCCATAAACACAAAAGAAATGGGACTGCTGAGGATTGTTAAATGTTTATGCTTGTGAATAGACAGTTTGTCTGCTTTAGTAGTTCACTGATGCTCTTATTCTCGTAGAACTTGAATCTTTCTCAAAATCAGAAAGCTAATGCCAGATCAATGATAGGATTCTAAAAATTGAATAGCCAAATGGTGAGGGATGCTTTATTGAAAGATTGTTATATTGTTTTAAAGGCAATAATTATTTCTTCAAAGTTGTGAGACAGTCAGAGTTGTGAGACCTGCTAGCATTTCTTTGAGGTCTGTGCTTAATAACAAATGGCAAGTTAAGATCCCTAAAATGACCTATTTGTGTGTCTTACCAAGAATAGTGACAGAATGCCTATTAGCCAATCTGCATTGTCAAATGCTCTGCATACAAGACATATATTATCATCACTGATTACTAATAAATCTGTTAGATATTTATTACATGTAGTGCTCTTCCAGTATGGTGAGTAATGTCTTCATATGAAGAAAATATATTCCTAAAAACATAAGACATTTCACAGAAGAGCACACCAGTCAACCCATGTCTAGCTCTGGCTTTGTGAAGAGCATTGTAGGTACTTCTTATGCTGCTCTTAAGACCCATGCTGAATTCCAAACAGTGCTAGCTGCCCTTCAATACACTATTTAATCTAAAATCTTGCACTTATTTATATATTTGGCCAGTAAAAACTTTTTTGTTCTGACTGTTTACCATCCTCTATTTAACTTGGCATTTATTTTGGTCTCTAAACTACATCTTTCTTATCCTAGAATTCAGTTCTAGAATTCTGAGATTTGATGAAAAGGTGTAAGTTTAACTTTTCACAGCTTCCATTGTATTTTAGAATTCTCAGCCTTCATCTTTTCCACTAAGAGTCTAATTTTTTTAGTTTGTTCTCATATGAATGCTGTTCTATCAGCTTTATTGTTTTGGTTTATTTTATATGTTGCTTCTTTGTAGTTGTATCAAAGTGAAGCACCCCAGACTACTGATAATAGATGCATAGTAGTTTTATAAAAGTAGCATGGTAATGTTCTTATTCGTTTTCAGAAACTTTATAAATAATGCTAAGATTTTGTTAGCTTTTCCATTTTTTTTTTTAGTTGTAGAAGCACCCTGGGTTGATATGTTCTGAGAGTTATTAAACTAATTTCATACTCTTGTTCTACATGACAAATAATAGTTCCCTTATATATGTACATTAGCATTTTATATTATCATGATTACAGTTTTCTTCTATGCACTCATCCACATTGCAGTTTGACATTTGTTTCATTCAATTGCTGAACTTTGCAAGATCACCATGAGGATTTTAGCATTCAATTCAGCATTCTACTTCCTGAAATTGCTTAGGAAGAATTGAAAAATAGGGAATTTTTTCACTCATTTCAAATTATAGGAAATAATGAAAACTTAAGACTGATCCTGAAATAATATTTCAGGAGAATATTGGATAAAATGGAAAATGCTCACAATATATTACTAACTGGGAAACAAAAGACTGAAAAATAATGTGTATAGTATATTCCAATTGTATGGGAAGTATCTATCTTTATATGCATAGGGAAAAATATATTTACCACACATAAAAATGCTAAAGATGGTTTTTCCTGAATGTTAACATTACAGCAGTATATTATACTCTGATATCCTTTGTTATCCACAGTTAAGATATATATTTGACAATCACAAAAAAAGCAATCTAGTCTAGATACATGTAGCTCAGGGATATCACTACCAACTTATACCTTTTATAATAGATCCTCTATTTAATCTTTAAATTAGTAATTTCTTTATCATTACTCAGATTTGGGGTTTTTATCTGTGTGGTTGAAGTTTCTGAAGGTGTAGAATCTTCTCACAAGTTCTCTGGAAACCTAAAATTGTACTCAGAAGTGGATATGTTCCTCAAAACAACAGACTCCTCCAGAATAGTCAAGCCTGACTTCCAGTAGAAAGCATGCCGCTTCCCCCACCTGATTATCTTTGCTTTTGTGTTTTTGTGATTTTTATTTCACTGGTTTGTCTCATATGAAAGTGAACATTATCCGCTTAGACATCTTCAAACCTTCTGTGGGTATTATGCTATTTATACTAGTTTCTGCTTTTCCCCTCTAGTAATAATATGCGGTTGCAATTCCACTTTATAAATTGAGCAGCCAAAGAGTAGATGTATTTGAGTACTCTCTGGTTAGACTGTCAGAGTTAATGATATTTTATCTCTTTTATAGAACAGTTGCTCCCCTTAGACTTCTCATGACATAGTTCCTTTCCACAATACATTAGCAAGTTGGGTGTATTTCCTTTTTTCAAATGGGTTACCAATCTATTTTATTATAGGAAACAGTTTTTTCTTTTTATCCCAAAATCTTATCTACATATGCAATCCCAGTATTCTGCCAATTTTTAATGTATAATTGAAATTCCTTATTAATTGCTTCCTTTCTTCCATTAAAACCATTTGCACTTACAAGATGTAAATACTTATGGGATCTGAATGTATTAGAACTTGCAATTTCTATAACTAAAAATGTTTCCAACAAAGTAACGATCTATCTCTGCAGCCTGTAATGGTCTAAATTAACAATATAATTGTAACAATTTATCACGTTAAGCTTAATTTTAATCATTACTTTATGTTTAATTTGTAGACTTGAATCATCTCATTTGCCTTCTATTAAAGAACCAGAAAGGAAAAGAAAAGAGCTGTTTTCAGTGATGCAAGATCAGCCAAATCATGAAAAAGAATTGAACAAGGTATGAAAAATAATGAGCTCAATTTTTCCAGGTAGATGTGAACTCTTTACATACAAAGGGAGTTTAAAAAAATCTTTCTTCTCACTCTGTTTATTTTCCTTCTATATTTTTTTGTGAGGTGATAATCTACCAAGCTGCTAATTCCGACATTTTTCTGTGTGAGACTACAAAAAACACAAAACTTAAGTTATCATTCTGCAACTAGGAGACTTCCCGCGAAACGTTGAGGGTAGAGGGCCAGAGGCTCCATGATAGGTGGCTTACAGCAAGAAAGTTGAGAGCAGACTCTGGTGCTCAACCATACACATAAGCTTGCAGAAGTTTCCTGTGCAAGATACTGAGGAGCCTCATTTCTAAGATGGAAATAATTGGTACCTACCTCATAAGTTTGTGATGAGGATTAAATGAGTTAATAATAACTGCTACTTAAATAGCAGTTACCATGTGCCAGGAACTATTCTAAGGACTTAAGAAATCCTACTTCATTTATTCCTCACAACCATCTAATAAAGTAGGTCCTAATATTACCCTCTTTTTACATTTGAGGAAACTAAGGCACCGAGAAAAAGTAACTTCCTTCAAAATTACACAGCTATTAAGTGGCAGAGGCCATATTTGAATCTAGGCAATCTGGCTCCAGTATCCACACTCTTACCCTAAGTTAAAATCCATGAGATAATGCACTTAAAGTGCTTAAAATAGGATCTAGCTCAGAGGAAGCATCTAGTAAATATTGGCTCAATAGTTTTTTATTGCACCCACATTTTTTCACTGAGCACCTAACATGTGCCAGGAACTCTCCTGGAGCTAGAAATACAAGGATGAGTAAGTCGTGGGCACTGTCCTTAAATAGCTTGTAGTTCTTTACTCTCCTACAAAGAGTATTATTCTCTCCTCCCTCTAGTACAATCTGGTAATGGCCTTCTTTCTATGAATTTATCATAGCTACTCTCCACCTCTCTGGTCTTTAGGTTTGAGGATCAGGCAGAATATTTAATGCTATAAAATCTAAACAATTAAAAGTTAAATAAAACTGGGTGTGACTTTGAATTATCAATTAGTGCACTGCATAGTGCTTGACACACAGTAAATGAAAATAAATACTTAGAGAATGAGTTAGTTAAGGTTAAATTTTCTCATAAATATATAGGGTCATAAATTCAGTTGTTTGTACAAATTTAACAAACATTTATTGAGTATCTAGGAGGACTATAGCTATTCTGCTAAATTCTATAGGAAATACAATAATATGAAAGACAGGTACTGTCTGCCCAAGAGTTGACTGTCAGAGAACTAATAGAGGTTAAGTAGAGAAAAGGTGTTATGAATCAATGATCATTTTTCATACATTTTGAACACTTTAATGCCATATAATCTTACAAAATTTATTTTACTGACTTGAAAATATAACTTAAAAAAACTCTTTTTCACTGGTGTACCCAGTAAATGATAAAAGATTGGTTAAAGCCACCTATAGTTACATGATTCTTAATCTCGTAGATTTAGATAAAGTAATAAAACTTTGAGAAATATAAAGAATCTTCTGATATTGCACAGTTTTGATATGGTGGGAGAGAATATGAGGCACAAAATTCTTTATAGGCTCTTGGAAGCCACTAGATACCAGAATGCTGTGCAAAAAAAGGTAACAAATGAATTTTATATAAATAGGTTCCAAGTGGCCGGGCACAATGGCTCATGCCTGTAATCCCAGCACTTTGGGAGGCTGAGGTGGGCAGATCACGAAGTCAGGAGTTTGAGACCAGCTTGACCAACATGGTGAAACCCCATCTCTACTAAAAATACAAAAATTAGCTGGGTGTGGTGGCGCACACCTGTAATCCCAGCTACTCAGGAGGCTGAGGCAGGAGAATTGCTTGAACTCGGAAGGCGGAGGTTACAGTGAGCCGAGATTGCGCCACAGCACTCCAGCCTGAGCGACAGAGCAAGACTCTGTCTTAAAAAATGAAAAAAAAAAAGTTTCCAAGTGTTTCTGGAGAGCATTTTCATTCTCTTGTAATAAAACTAACAAGAGCTATATATTATGAATCTTGCAAGCATTTTATTTCTTTTCCTTTTTTCCAGTATAGAACTGTTTTAGCCATTTATTTTGTGATAACATTCACATTTTCAATAAACTAAAAGTCATTTGGAGTTCAGGTAAATTAGTTTCTTCTTTCATTAAGAAAGAAGCTTTGCAGTATAGCATGTTGTGTTAACATCTAAATATTGTGAAAATAATAAAAATAGTTTACTCCTTTTTCACAGTAGTATGTTCATTTTTTTACATTTTAAAAGTTCCATTTTGGCCAGGTGCGGTGGCTCACACCTGTAATCCCAGCACTTTGGGAGGCCGAGGCGGGCGGATCACGAGGTCGGGAGTTCGAGACCATCCTGGCCAATATAGTGAAACCCCATCTCTACTAAAAATACAAAAATTAGCTGGGCATGGGCACTCGCCTGTAGTCCCAGCTACTCAGGAGGCTGAGTCAGGAGAATCGCTTGAACCCGGGAGGTAGTGGTGCAGTGAGCCGAGATCGTGCCACTGCACTCCAGCCTGAGTGACAAAGCAAGATGTTGTCTCAAAAAAAAAAAAAAAAAAAAAAAGTTCCATTTTAAGTGGAACATGTTAAACTATGCCAAAGGGATGCGATCAGCAAAATCCATACTGGGACAAACTATAGACTGACCATGTCATTTCATCAAATAAATTGGAAGGTAAAAACTTGGAGACAGAAGAGATTAAAAGAGACTTGTAATACTGTCCTCCGGGTTAGGATACTTATGCTCGTACCTCTTAGTCTCCGCCTTGTTCTCGTTCCTGTGAGTCTTTTAAAAAAAAATCTGTTAAATGATGAGGTTCAATCATGTGATTTCTAAAGTCATATCCAACTCTGAAATTCTAAATATGTTGGTAATATGAATAGAATCAGATGAAGGAAGGGTTGGTGGCATAAAGCCTGATGGTGGATCACATTTGGCTCTGGGCATGTGTACTTTCCATGTTAGGTCACCCCACTCTAAATGCCATCCCCTGAAACACAGCTTTTTCTAATCTCACTCTAGGTGTCATCCCCTAAAACCCAGATTTTTCCAATCTCTCTGTAGGTGTCAACCCCTAAAACTCAGGTTTTTCCAAATGTGAACCACTTTCCATACCTTCCAGGACCCTTCCCACAGAGGTTGCAGAGCACAACAGTTCACAGGTCCTGGAATTAGACTGCCTTTCACAAGAAATGTGATGTGAAAAGTTATGCACCTTAATTTTCTAATCTTCTAAATAGAGTAGTCTGCAAAATAGAGAGACATTGTGGGGATTAAATGAGATGATGCATGTAAAGTACTAAGAACACACAAAAAGAGAGGCTATAGAAAGATATGAACCAGTCCCAATGAATGGATCATATTTAGATCCTAATTCAATTAAACTTAAACAACATTTATTATATTTTTGAGACAAGCTTAAATTTGCATACTGCCTATATACTTGATGAGATTGAGGAATTGTTACTTTTTACAGACATTGTAATAACATTCTGGCTGCATTTTAAAAAAGAGAGAGAGCCTTGTTCTTTTAAAGATATATACTGAAATGTTTAAAAGTGAAATGAAAAAAAAATCCATTTTAAAAAAGTGCCCTGGAGAAAATTCGTATGTTTATTTTGTGACTAGCCTCTACTTAACTCTCCAGCCTTATTTCTCAGAGCAGCTAACTCCTAGGTACCCCAGACTCCTTTTAGTTCACTCAGTGTGTCATTGTTCTGTTTCACTCCCATGCTTACACTCACTGAGCTCTTTGCCTGGGAGCCCTCTTCCTCCTCCTCCTTTTTCTTCTTCCTCCTCCCCCTCCTCCTCCTCCTCCTCCACCTCCTTCTCCTCCTTCTTTTTTTTTTTTTGAGACAGGATCCTGCTGTGTCATTCAGGCTGAAATACAGTGGCACAATCGGGGCCCACTACAACCTGGACCTCCTAGGCTCAAGGGATCCTCCCACTGCACTGTCCCTTCCACCCGAGTAACTGAGACTGAACGCACATGCCACCACACCTAGCTAATGTTTTTACTTTTCGTAGAGCATCTCTATGTTCTATTTTTTTCTATACCCTTTTTTTCTTTTCTTTTTTTTTTTTTGAGACAGGGTTTTGAGACAGGGTCTTGCTCTGTCGCCCAGGCTGGAGTGCAGTGGCATGATCTCAGCCGACTGTACTGCAACGGCTGCCTCCCGGGTTCCAGGCATCCTTCCCACCTCAGCTTGCCACACACTACCACGCCCCGCTAGAGCATCTCTATCTTCTAACTGGCATTCATTCATCCTTCAGTTTTGGGTCTAATGATCCTTCCTCTGGGAATCCTATCCTGACATCCCTAGGCTGGGTTACACACACTGCCACTACATACTGCTGACACTGATTGCTACACTGTGCTGTAATTGTCTATTTTTCTATTTCCTCCAATGGACTATGATTTTTTTTTAGATGGATGATTATGTACTTTAAGTCTCAAGGATTGGAAACAGTAAGTGGTTTCTAGAAAGATACTAAAAGGCTGGACCAAGACAGCAGTTGTAGAAATGGAGAGCAGAGGCAAAAAGAGGTTGAAATAGAATGGACAGAATTGATTGCCTGACCAGGTTTGGGAGGACAAGGGTGGAGAGGAGTCAGAGACAATCCAGAGGTTTCTAACATGGAAACGTAGCCAAGATTCAGAAAATAGGAGGCTTAAGCAAGGGAAGTGATGAGTTTTCATGAAGACATTGTTTGAAATTTACTGTAATGTGATTCTGAGAAACAAATGTTTAGTTATAAACAGTACAGCCTGTTTTAGTTTTTAAAAAGCACTGAATTTAAAGCCAAGAGTCCTAGATTCCAGTCCTAGCTTTGCCAATTATTAGCTTTATGACTTTGAGCAAATCACATAACCATTTTAAAGCCAATTTTTTTCTCCATGAAAATGCTTGATAATACTTTCTTCACCTTCCTCTCAAAGTGGTTATCAAAGTAGTATCAGTCATAGGTGATGATTTGTATACAAAAGAAAATAGAAGTGAGAAATGAAATGTTGGAATTGGAAGGAATAAAGGTAATGAGTCATTATTATAAGTATCTGTTTTTAATTTAGCATTGATCAGAAAAGGAGGGTAAAGTGGGCCCTGACAAAGTTTTAGAAGAGGAGGGCTGAACATGGCCATTAAAAGTTTTAAGCTATTCTATAAATAAAAGGATTCAATAATATTTCCAGTCTCTATCTGCTGCAGATAAGAAGCCAACTCCAACAGGAGGAAGAGTACCATAACTCTGAGCAGGAAAGAATGAGGAATGAAATCTCTGACCTAACAGAAGAGCTTCATCAGAAGGAGATCACTATAGCAACTGTCACGAAGAAAGCTGCCCTTCTGGAAAAACAGTTAAAAATGGAATTAGAAATAAAAGAAAAAATGTTAGCAAAAGAACAGGTATGCAAACAGGCAGAACAGTGCTTGTCTAGTGCACGCTCTTGCTCAGTGCCAACTGGAGCCTTCATTATTGACTAATGAAAACATTGCATTTCTTCGTATTATTTCTGAGACTAGCTTCACAGAAATGCTTTGTGGTGTTACGTAAATAAAACCTTTGAGAGATAACACGAAGTGTCACCAACAAAAAGCACTAGGGCAATGACAGTGCAAGACAATTTCATTCAATCTCATCTTTCCATTTTCTTGTAACCTATATTCTGATCACCTCCCACAGTACACTGTAATCAAATATTTCTTTCTGAGTATTTTTTTCTGTATTTCTCTTCCATTAACATTTTTATCTTTAAAAAGAAGTCTCTATTCCATCTCTTCTTCAACACTTCCCACCCCTCCCCCACATTTCATGTATTTCTTTTAGGCTTTTTACAAATGGATGTTGAAACATGAAAATTAGTTCATATTTACTGAACATACAAATGCACAGCATGGTGCATGGGGAAAAACAGCAATTGTAACATTCTTCTGTTGAAATACAAGTAATGTCTACATCCTTCCTTTCCTTCCTGCCTATTTATTTTTTAAATTCCCTCCATCCCTTACTCATGATCAAATGGATGGCCTACTATTGAAAGCACAGGGTTTATCTGCCTTTTTACCCCAAATCTAAAGGTTCTGACAGCATCATTTAATAATTTTCTAGGCATATGAGGGTCACTTCACAAATAGCACGCCTAAAATCGTGTGAATTATGAAAACCGAAAAGATTTAGCCTTTGCCCTGTTGTAAGCCTTAAACCGCGATTTATTGGTGCAGTACACAGGAAAACAGCACAGATGGGAAAATCGCTTTGGTTGTACCTGTAGAGGGAGGGATATTTTACAGGTGTTAACAGTGATCTGGGTAGTTGGATTATGAATAATTTTTATTTTCACCTTTATATTTTTGTACATTTTCTAGGTTTTGCCAATGAGCAAATAATTAGTAAGTGACAAAAGTAAATCTTTTTAAGGCAGGTGTTTTATACAGAAATGAGTCCTAGAGAAATCAAAGGACACATACTATATCCAAGTCTTGTCAAGTAGAATAAATCAGGGAAAGATAAAATAAATTGAGAGACAAAATGAAGTAGTCACTAAAAAAGATGGAACTTTGGCAGAAATATCAGAAAGAACAAAATTAAACATGAAAGTTATGTATTGCCTATTGTAAAAATTAATCAGTTGTTGAATAAATTTAATGGACAGTTATTCAAACATGTTTTTAACATGTGCTTTTTCTGGTGACAATTTGCCTACGATAGAAAATAGAAACCAGAAATTGAATTTTGGGATTAGAGGACAAAAGTAAATGAATCATTACTGAAAGTATATGTTTGTAGTTTAGCATTGATCAGAAAAAGACATAAAGTGGTGCCTGCCAAAGATACAAGAACTAAATCAGAATACTTGAATGTTATTGATTATACTGAAGAAGTATTTCCCTTCATTACACTTAGAAAATATTTGTATTCGCAAAACAAAATTTTAATAGAATTATGAGTTTTTATTACGAATTTTACATTTACCTTTTATCTACTAATTTCAGGTCTCAGATATGAAATATAAAGCTGTCAGAACTGAAAACACACATCTAAAAGGAATGATGGGAGATTTAGACCCTGGACGATACATGGTAATATGCTGACATCATTCAATAAATTGAACAAAGAGATTACTGAATTGGTCACAATTAACTCAGACATCATTTATTGAGCACTTGCTATGTGTTAGACACGAAGGAGTTGGATGGTAAATTATCTTGCACTTCAGCTGAGGTTACTTTTATCCTCAGGCTAGAACATTGGAATGTCTGATTTTCTCCCTTGTTCTTTGGTTGGATTGGGCTCAAGTCTGATCATTTCCCTCAAATATGCCAAGCATGCTATTTCCTTGCTTTTGTTCTTGCTGTTGCCTTTGAAATCCTACATCCTACATGGCCTGATTCAAGTGCCAAGCCACCCCTGAAACCCCAGTCAGAATGAATACCACATTTAGTTTGTATTTTGTTCTGGCTTGTTTTGTTGCTTGTCACTTTCCCAGTGGATGGCAAGCAGGGAACCATGTCTTATTGGTGTTTGTTTCACCAGTACCTCACATCTTCAGGCATAAAGTAAGTGTTCAATGAGTGTTGGTTGATTTAAAAGAGGGAGAAATGAATGAATTACTGAGGATAAGGACTTCTGGTTTTAACCAATGGCTCTATAGGTTTACACAAAGGAACTTAAACAGTCTCTGTTTATCTCCTTTTTTTTTTTTTTTTTTTTTTTTTTGAGATGGAATCTCGCTCTGACGCCCAGGCCAGAGTGCAATGGCGCAATCTCAGCTCACTGCAAGTTCCGCCTCCTGGGTTCACGCCATTCTCCTGCCTCAGCCTCCCGAGTAGCTGGTACCACAGGCGCCCACCATCACACCTGGCTAATTTTTTTTTCTGTATTTTTAGTAGAGACAGGGTTTCACCACATTAGCCAGGATGGTCTCAATCTCCCGACCTTGTGATCCACTCGCCTTGGCCTCCCAAAGTGCTGGGATTACAGGCGAGAGCCACCGCGCCCGGCTTCTACATCTTCTTTCAATTGTTTAATGTAACAATAGAAAGTTGATCTTTATACGAGAATTTTTATTTATTGAATGAATGAAATATTGTTAACTTGTTATCATTTATTTGCTCTGAGGAAATTCTAAGATAATTTTCTACCATATGAGGAATGGAAAGGATAAGAGATGAAAATGGTAATTACTTAATCAGGCCTCAGTTTCCTCAGCTATAAAATGAGGGAATTGAATTAAGCATTCTCCATTGGCCCTCCTTAAGCTATCATACTATATTTCTGTGATATTATGTACTTGTTCTCATAATGGTCCATATTCTAGCATCGAAAGAGTAGAAACGTTCTGGAAGCATTCTGTCTTCTTCTTTGGGCATGGTTAATGAATCCTGTGATTGGAGTACAGATGAATAAAAAGTAAGGCATAAGTGATTTTCCTATTTGTTACATTGAAAAAACTGTGTGTCACCTATGACACTTTTGTTTCTAAATGCTGAACACACAAAAAGTTAAATCAGATCCTGACTCCATGAGTGCCTTTTTCACTCACAAAATGGTATTTGTGTGTTTTTTTTTTTTACATTTCAGTCTGAATGTTTTTAAAGTGTAAATTCTGGGTTATCACAGCCCCCACTGAGCGTGCCTAATTCTGGCTCCTTTAGGAGTTTGACTTTGTTCACCTTTTTGTGTTTTTAAGAAATAGCAGACACAGAGATGTATAAAGAAGCTTATGACCCACAACCCTATCCCAATCCAAAGATATCCAGTGCTAACGAATTAGTGTTTGTGGTAGCATTCTGTAACTTTTTCCTTGCATATGCACACATAAGGAGGAGATGGGTTGAATGTTCTTTTACAGAAATAAATGTACAATATATACATTATTCCAAAACTGCATTTTGACAGTCCATGAACATCTCTACAAATCAGTAAACATCCTTTTATTTTTCTAATTTCTTAGAAAAAAATGTATATTCATATAAGATATACATAATTTTTTACAAATTTAATCGTAACTTACATAAGGGCAATTTTAGTGTAGTCATTTTGTTGTTGCTGCTTGCTTTACTCCTCCCTCTTTCCTCCAAACATCTACCCACATTATACCCCCTCCTCTAGATGATACATGTTAACTACTTGGTATGTATTATTTTAAACTTTTTCATATATATATACATATAGTCATATAGTACCTATTTGGGGATTTTATCATCTTTTTAAAGTTGAATCATAACACATACTTCTCTGTCTTGTTTTTGTTCACTCAACAGTATCCCTTGGAATCTTTCCAAGTTAACTAATTTAAGTCTATTTTATTTTTATAATATTATCAAGCTATTATTTTTATAATAGCTTGATAATATTCCATGGTGTGTATCAAAATTTATTAAATGATTTTTATAGTTATTTCAGGGATAATTTATTCAACTCTGTTTCCAGAGTTTTGCCTGATGAACAATACTGTAAGAAAAATCCTTATACATACACCTTGGAATAGCCTTCCTAGGAGTAAAATTGCTAATTCAAAGGATATGTTTGTTTTAATTTTAATAGCTATTGTTAAATCATATGTCTACCATCTCTGTATGAGAGTACCTTTTAAAATTTCATTCTTGTAGGCAATAGGTGTTATTGGTCTTTTTAATTTTTGTCATTCTGATGGTTATAAAGTAATTTCTCAATAGGTCTTTAATTTGCATTTCCCTGACTTACCAGGTGAACATATTTTTGTATATTTATTGACAATGTGTACCAATATGAATTAGAAATATCCTTTGCCCATTTTTCTGTTGGCTTATTTGTCTTTTTTGTGTCAATTTTTTATTTTTATTTTTTATTTTTTGAGTTGGAGTCTCACTCTGTCACCCAGGCTGGAGTGCAGTGGTGCAATCTTGGCTCACTGCAGCCTCCACCTCCTGGGTTCAAGCAATTCTCCTGCCTCAGCCTCCCAAGTAGCTGGGATTACAGGCACATGCCACCATGCCCAGCTCACTTTTATATATTTTCAGTAGAGACGGGGTGGCCAGGTTGGTCTCAAACTCCTGACCTCAAGTGATCTGCCAGCCTTGGCCTCCCGAAGTGCTAGGATTACAGGTGCGAGCCACTGCGCCCACCCTCATGTCAATTTTTAACAATGCTTTTCCAAATCTGTTGTTTGTAACTTTATGACTTTTTTTGGCCATGCAAAATGCTTTAAACTTCTACTTGATCTCTTTGTTTATAGCTTCTTAGTTTCCTTCTTTGACTAACAGTTCTCCCTTCTAGATATATATAGCATCAGTTTTTTTTCAAAGATTATTATATCTGTCATCCAAGTCTTTAATCCATTTCTTTTGCACGGGATATAAAATGGAAACCAAATTTAAATTTTTATGTAACCATTAAGCTCCATTTATTTAGTTTATCCTGGTAATTTCCTGTTGGATCCTATTTGGAATTGAATTAAGTTTATAGGTTAACTTTGATTTGGCATTTTCATTATAGTAAATTTTTCCATCCGAGAATGGCTTTCCATTTCTTCATATTTTATGTTTTTCAATAAGATCTTACCATTTTCTTTGTATAGGTTATGTCCTTTTCTTTTAAAATGTATTTCTAGGTGTTTTTTAAAGATGAGTTTGCTGTTAAAATAAAAAAATAAAATAAATAACAAAATTTATTCCCAAGTGTTTTGCAATTTTTAGCACTGTTATGAATAAAATATTTTCCTTTTTCAATATCTTGTAACTTATTGTTAATATAGAAAAATACTAATTATCTTATTAATTTAAGTAGACTTTTTACTAGAGGTTTCTTAGGGTTTTCTGAGATACAAAATCATATCAACAAAAAATAGTCGTATCTCTTTTCCACTGCCAATAGTAGGTTTTTTCTTTTTGATCATATACCATTTGCTAAAACCTCCAAGAAAATATTAAATAATTATAGTGCTTGATGGAAATTTTTCTAGTTTTTGATTTTAAGTGATGTGGTTTTAGAGTTTTGCTGTTTCATATATTTGTTCTTAATTTATGGTCTTAGTATCTTTTTCTATTTTACTTAGAGTTGTTATTAAGAATTGCTGCTGGTTTTATCAAATGCCTTTTTAGGAAATATGACATTATATGGGTTTTGTTTTTTAATTTATTGATGTGTAATAGACTATGGTTAACAGATTCCCCAATATTGATCCACCTTTGAATTTTTGGAATAAACCTTTTTAGTCATTGTCTTAGTTTGATAGGGCGATTGTAACAAAGTACCAAAAGCTAGCTGGCTTGAAACAACAGAAATTTATTGTCTCACAGTTCTAGAGGCTTGAAGTCCAAATTCAAGGTGTCAGCAGGACTTTGCTCCCTCTGAAACCTGTAGAAGAGAATGCTTCATTACCTCTTCCTGAATTCTGGTAGTTTGCCAACAATCGTTGGCATTCCTTGACTTGTAGATACATGAGCCCAATCCTCTATCTTCATATGGCATTCTTCCTGTACCTCTGTCTTCACATGGGCATCTTCTTCCTGTGCTTCTTCCCATCATCCTCTCTCCTTTTGTGTCTGTTTCTGTGCCCAAATTTTCCCATTTTATAGCATGCTAGTCCTATTGGATTGGGGCCCACTCTAGTGACCTCATTTTTTCTCTGTAAAGACCCTGTTTTCAAATAAGGTCACATTCTGAGGTACCGAGGGTTAGGATTTCAGCATGTCTTTTTGGGAGTGGCACAACTAAACTTATAATAGCTATATCTTAGCAATTTTGATATACTATCGGATTCTATGTGATAATATTTTATTTAGAAATGAAGATCTGCAGACCTCCAGTTTCAAAACAGTGGCATAAAAGCAAACTGGCTTAATTCCCCCCACAGAATACCAAAAACAAATATGCAAATAAAGGCTATATATGACAAATGTACAGCTAACATCACACTAAATGGGGAAGAATTGAAAGCCTTTCCTCTAAGATCTGGAACAAGATAAGGATGCCCACTTTCACCACTTTTATTCAGCATAATACTCAAGTCCTGACCAGAGCAATTAGACAAGAGAAAGACACAAAAGGGCATCCAAATTGGAAAGGAAGAAGTCAAATGAACTCTGTTCACAGATGA